CTTTGTCGCCGTTGTTTTTCATATCGCTGCTGTTGCTGTTGCTGTTGCTGTGGTCGCTAAGCTCGCGTGGCAAACGAAATTGAATGAATATAATCAAATCAGAATGAAAGAGGTTATGTAAATGCTTCGGCTCACGTGTGTCGGCCCCAATGTTTCTCTCATTCGCGCTTGCTTTGCGGCTGCTGCTGCTGCTGCTGCTGCTGTTGCTGCTGTTGCTGCTGTTGTTGTGGTTGGCTTCTCTCCCGCTGTTGCTCTCCTGGCCAACAACGAATATTTATATAGTACTATGTCAGCAAACTTTTCTCTAGCCGTTGCTGTTGCTGCTGCTGCTGTTGCTGCTGCTGCTGTTTTTCAGCCAAAAGTTGCCGTGGTTGGTATTTGCATAATTTACAGCGCCAGTTAATAGCCAAACACATGTGCTGAAATATTTTGTAGTCCGTGGGCCTTTTCTCTTTTATTTTTTATTTTTTTTTATGTTGTGGTGGGTCTGGCTGCTTTTAGTAAACGTTTTGTTTCGGTTTCTGTGTCGGTTTCGGTTTCGGTTTCGGTTTTTCGGCTTGGGCTTACCTGCGGCTTCTTTGAGCCGAGTTCTTATGGGTTACTGGAGCCTTAGCACTTGCATTTTACAGATTATAAGCTCGACTTTGCTTATATATGATACTCCTATGTACGTAAGACACACACACACAGAATACAGCACATTCGGTGAGCTACAAACCAAGTCAGAAATTGTAAATTGAAAAATCTAATAAGAATAAAGAAAGAAAAAAATATGAACTGCAATCACAGTCAAATATTTCACCAAGGAGACGCAATCAAATGAGGGAAGCACAAGAGAAATATAAATAGATATAGAGACGCATAGGGGATATGGAGTTGAAGTCAAATCTGGTTTTCGCTTTTTGCATACCCGTTGGAAACAAAAAACAAACACCATCCACCGTTAACCCAAGACCTTTGCAGACACCCAAAAATGCAGGACGTGGGAGGGGCAGCGAGTGCCTAGGAATGGCAATTAGTTTGCTTGTGGAGAGGGCAAGGATGGGGCACGTGAATAATTGTGTGCTTAGAAATTCCATTCAGAGTGAAACAGGGTCGAAAAATAAGAGGATATTTTGGCTTATACTGCTTAGCATTAATAACTACGCTTGTAGTCTTAGGTAATTGAGTTGATAAATAGTTAATAACACCACTAAACAAGCTGTTTATTAATTATGTACTTAAAGTTAAGTATACATATATGTATATATATAAATAAGTGTATTTCTCACAACTTGTTGATCGACTCAGATGCGATGCTTGTGCGTGGAGAGAGATTTCAATTCAAGCCATAAATATTAAAATAATATTGATTGATTTTTGTTAGGACCTGATTGATAATTTGACCATCTTCATTAATTCATTTATTTTTAATCATTTAATCATCATTTAATCCCACAAAAAACTCTGCAATTAACGTTTGGACAAAAGATTGTCAATATTGGACTTCAATATCATATAGCTCTCATAGGAAGCACCGGTCGATCTTATAAATTTGATTCCGTTCTACAAGGGAATGCAGTCTTTGACGTATCCAATATAGGATCCCATTCTTGTTTTTATTTGCTTCCACTTATATTGTTTAAGTTCTGTGTGGTTGCCTTTCAAAGCTGCTTAAATTCTATAAATAGTGAACCAAGCTGTAACTCTTATGCAATCCAAATAGTTGACCAGGTGTAATGATTTCGTTCCACTCAGTTGCCATTTAAGTTTTCGCCCCGTTCACGTTTGATAAACCCCCAACACAACTGCGAAAACGCATAAGCCCGGTTAGTTATCTTGTGTGTGTGTGTGTGTGTGTGTGTGTCTGTATGCGAGTGTGTGTGTGTGAGGAGGCATCGTCAAGCAATTAGTTTGGCAACCACGTCAGCGGTGTGTGTTCTCTGGCTGCCCAGGCCAAAACAAATTGGCTTACAGCTCGAGTCGGAGAAAGTTGTGAGCGTATCTTCTAACTTGTTTACAAGTCGTTTGGCAATTATTCAATTAAATGGCGCCGCCAACAGCTATTTTATATAATTTTGACGCACGAGCCAGCAAAAGTTGAAATGCATTTAGAGCCAAGCGGAAATCGCGTAATGCCTGCCACCCGGTTGCTAAAGATGGCCAGGTTTTTGGATCCCAGCTATTCGGTTCAGAGTCCACGTGCAATTTGCAATTGGGCTGTCGTCGGCCTTAAAAGTATGCTCAGTTTTCTTTCCTTTCAATTTCCTAGACTGACAGCTACAGATCCAGACGCCTAGAGCCTTTGACACAAACAACTTCCGCCAGCCACGTGAATGGGGAAGTGTTGGGGTGGGGTGTGTGTGGGTGTGTCTGTGTGTGTGTGTGTGTGTGTGGGTGCTCTTTTGAACGGGATGCTTGGACAGCTCGTTAGCAATTGCATCACAGACAACATCCAAAATGTCATGTCCGACTTTGTCCATCGTTGTACGACCCAACCAGCCAACCAGCCCACCAGCCAACCGCCCACAACGACTCAGCTGTTATATGTATATTTGTATATTTGTATATTTGAATATATAAGTGTATGTGTATACATGTTTTTCGGTCCTGGCCCATTCAGTTCCGCATCATTTGTCCTTTTTGTTTACCTAAGCAGCAAGCGGCTATTTGTATGTTGTCAAGCGAAAAATACATATTTCAAAAGCGCAAATATCTACATACAGAAATATATACATACAAACACTGAGGTCCTTCTGTGTACGCTTCCAATGATCCTTGATGGCTGACATAACGAAATGCATTTTCACTCACTTAAACGGAGTGCCCCAAATGGCTAAATTGTGCAGATTAAATATTATGTCATCTGTAATCGATAGGAAATGTGCAGAGAAAATGAGATTGCAGTTAAATTTAATCTATGACTTTTCACAAGGTTAGCGAAAAGATTCGCATTATGTGCGTTGAAACTCAAAATCAAATTAGAATTTAAGAGAAACTTCAAATGATATTATTGTTGAAAAGGAAACTTGAGCGAAAATGGCAATCGCTGACTTGTTGCAAAGTTAGCAAAAAGCGATAATTTCGTATAAACATTGGATGAGCTTAGAATGCTTGCTTGGATAACATATTAAATAAATATTTCGTACATTTCAATGGGCCTTATCTCGTTTTTCTTTTTTCTTTTTGCAACTTGTACTAGCAGGCTTGATAGGCAATTCAGCGAACAAGGAGACAACGCCCCAAGGCGACTATTAACTTTGGGCCACATCCGCGGAGGATTGGCAGAATGTTCGTGGCTGTGGCCAGAGTTCTTGGGCCTGTCCACACGTTGTCAGAGTGCCCCTGGAAATTTCATCAAAAGTTGTCGCCAGCATCATTTCTGCCTCGTCTTCATCCCCATCCCCATCCCCATCCCCATCCTCCTGCTGTTGCTCCTATTCATCCCGCATCCGGCATGTCGGAACATGGCCGTCAAATTTGTCCGCAACACGTAAAATGGCGAGCGTCCAATGCGAAATGGAATATGAAAGTGGCAGCGTGAAAACAAAAGAGTCAGAGAGACAGATACAGAGAGAGAGAGAGAGAGAGAGAGAGAGAGAGGGAGAGAGAGAGCGTGAGAAGTTGACAAAGTCTGAGAGGGAAATAGTTAAGTTTTATGATTGCGTTGTGCAAGTTGTGTCTAATTTGTCATTCACTTAAATGTTTATCATTTGTGCAGCAGTTGCTGCGACAGCTTCTAATTATGGTTGTGGTTTTGAATTCATGGCTGTGGCGTGCATCAATCAAGATTATTCCATTTTAATGCCACACATATGTAACAGAGAGAGAGAGAGAGAGAGAGAGAGAGAGGAACAGAAAGGGACATGCATATCTGCGAGTACACTGCTCATAACTAGTTTCAATTGCCAATTGAGAGCCAATTAAACCGTAACGCAAATTTTGCAACAAGATATTAAAAAAGTTTGTTGCGCAAATTTTCGCGAGGAATTATTAAAATTTTAATTACTCAACTCTGTGGCAAGCTTTTCGTCATCCCATCAGCATTGTCGACATTTTCTGTCGTTGCCGCAAAGGTAAAGAATCCAAGAGCGAACCAAGCAATTTCATCCCATTTCATTTTCAAGTCGTCGACCAAATGCTCTTTTCCAGATTCTCATAGATTCTTACAAAATATATTTGCATCCAGAGAAAAGCAGGCATTGGAAACAATAAGAATAAATTCAATAATTTAAAGTACTAAAGTCATTCAGAAAATAATAAAAGTTTAATTCAAAATTAGTTCTGAGCTACAAAATCGAGAAGAGCAAGGACAACTTGACATAATTCTGAAAGGATTCCTTCAATTTCGTAAGAGTATAAAATATATATAAAAAAAAATGACGGAATGAAAGTTGCATATCTTAAAGAAAAAGCTCAATTTGTTTTTAATATTAATGAGAGAATTTTTGCAGAGCAATATTAAAAACCTTAAGGAAAAATGCACTGACTGAGTGACTGACTGACTGACTGACTGCCTGACTGAGTGACTGACTGACTGAGTGACTGTCGGCAGTTTCTTTTGGCAGCAGCTTGGCATTGTGAGATGTCCCTGGTTGCTTCAGTCATTGCCGTCGTCCATGTCGCTGTGTGTTTTGGTGTGCGGCCCTAACCAAAATACAACAAAACACAGACACACACACACACACACACACACACATACACACACACACTTACACACAACACAAAAACGTCGCTGACATGCTTAAATATCAAAGTACCTTTTGCTATTCATCAGCGGAACGCGACGCCCTATGGGTATTCAGTGGGGGTAGCCCTTGTGCTGTGCGCTGTGTTCTGTGTTCTGTGTGCTGTGTGCTGTGCTCTGAATGTGGCAGGTGCATGGGCTGTGGCAGCTGCATGATGAATGACGTTTCGCCTTGACAATACGCCTGCCTCTTTGCTGATAGTATATGTGTGTTTTTGTGTGTTTATGTACATATCTATCTATCTTAAATCTCTTGTCGCTGTTGTTCTTTCAGATCGAACCACAGCCAAATTGGGATAAGACACGCGCCTTCAATTACCTGTTGACGTTAACAGGCTCGTTGCTCGTAGCTGACCCATCGGCCGAGCGGGCATACGCAGCACTCCGGAACACCACACACACACACAGAGACACAGAGACACACAGCCACACAGCCACACACCCTCAACTACAACCACAACCACATACGAGCAGCAACGCAATCTCTGCGGCAACACAATGGGCAAGAAGAACTCTAAATTGAAGCAGGACACCATTGATCGTCTGACAACAGATACATACTGTGAGTATAACGATAGACCCCAGTGTACCCCAGTGTATCACTGTATCCGTGCACTTGAGCCGGTCACAAATCATGTTGGGCGCGTTCCAGCCTTGAACTCTATATGAATTATGGTGCGGACCATTAAAAACTCTTGAAAGCCATTTTGGCAGCCGAAACGTGCGCATTATGTTTCTGACTTATAGTATTTAAGTGTTACTCCCATTTAAGTGTTCAAAAAAATGTGAATGGCTGCAAAGCTGAACGAAGCTGGCCAAAATGTTGAACGGAATTGAAAATAAGGCCAGATTGTTTGAGACAATGTGTTTTCTTTCTTTTTCGTTGGCAACAGCCCATAAGCAAGTGTGGATCTGTGTATAATAACATAATGTGTGAAGTTTCAAAGTCATTTTATTATAAATGTGTTTTATAAATATGCTTGAGTTGAACCACAATTGCATTAATCCATAATTCGATGTATATTCATTAATTTAACACTTGTGTGAAAGTGATGCAGCCACATTCTGAATTCAATTCGGAAACGTTAAGTTTTTTATTTTTATATTTATTTTTAATTTACCATTTAAGCATTGATCAACTTATTTAATCAGCTAGATTATATCTCTCATATATCATATGTATGTGATGCATACCAAATATGAGCCATGTTTCTGTGTTTGGTGGTTAAATGCTTCGTGCTCCATATCCATCATTATGGCCATATGTTGGCAATGAGGTCCTTTTTATAAGCCTCTTAGTTTCACTGGCTGCCCAGGAGCTTTTCGGTTTGTGGCAGCAGCAAGTTGAAATAAGCATAGGTCTAATAAGTACGGGTTGCACAAGGCGAAAGTTTCTGAGTGTTCGAATCGCATAACAAGTCCGCCTACAACATTTCATAGAATTTCGATTGCAGCTTACGGTTTGCTGTCTGCTCATCAGCTTTAAAAGCTGACGGAGCATTCTATGTGGGCCATTGCTTGGAGTGGAAATATTGTTGGCAATGCACTTATAAATTCAACAACAATTGGTCTGGAAACTCTACCGTTTTCTGCTCAAAGTTTCAGGTAATATTCCTTACTAAATGTAAGCCTTCAAAAAAATTGAATCAACTGAATTAGAACATTGCGCAATGCATAAATGTTAATGTATACATTCAATTTCGCTAATACATTGTTAGATAAGCCGGATAATTCTTCAATTATATATGCAAATTCTTTGGCAGATTATGGTATGCGAATAGACAATTTCTGTAGCAATCTCTATTTGCATAGTCAGTAAAGGCCCTTTAGAGTGCAGTCGAGCAAAAACATTGTGAAATATGGACAGCATTTGATTACTTTTTGCCGCCATTGCAATTCACTGGTACTTACGACATTATATGGGGTGTTTGTGCGAGTGTGTGGCACTTTCATGTCAATTTCGGTATGTGTTACACTTCGACAAACAGTCGCAGTAAGGCGACAGCAAATCGCGTATAAAACTGAAATGCAGACAGCATCATTCCAGACCAGAAGCAGGAGCCAGACTCTGAGCTAGACCCAGACCCAGAACCAGACTCAGACTCAGACCCAGATTGGTGCCTGGTGCCTGGTGCCTGCTGCCTGCTGCCTGTCGCACTGTCACATTTGAACTGCAGTCATTTGGCACATGCTCTTTGCTATGCAAACACACTCACACAGAAAATAGTGATGCTTCTCTTGGGTGTATCCTATGCCCCCTATCCTCTGCCCTATGCCCCCAAAACGTCTGTCAGTTCATTTCGCACGCATTGGCATTCAGTCAGTTGGGGCACTCAAATTTCAATTCAATGTTGAAATTATTATTGCACTTGTTGTATTTGTGTTCAATGGTCGATGGGGGCAGCCCTATTGTCACGTTATCTCTCTCTCTCTCTCTCTCTCTCTCTCTATCGCTCTCTCTCTCTCTGCCTCACCCCCCCTCTTAGCATGTGTATGTGTCAGAGTGGGCACTCAGCTTGTCTCGTCGTGACAGTTTGTTTGGCATTTAGCAGTGGAAATCAAACGTGTAAAAGCAACAAGCAACCAGAGCACTAAAAACGCACTCAAATGTGCCCCACTATGCTCCCGATAACGACACCACCCACCCCCACCCATCCCACCTATTTGCCAATGACGTCTCAAGCGCTTGTTCCTGTTCAACCATCATTCCATTGCTGCTGGCGCCAGTTGCACAGTGGACCAAGGGGTGGCGAGCGGGACGGGAAAGCTGTCACAGCTAATTGTTGACATAATAAATCATGAATCACATCAATACTTATCAACAATTACATAACATGTCAATAGAAAATTTTGATTTTATTTTATCCATTCACATTTTGCGTATTTATTAATTGCTCTCAAATAACGCCCTTATATATATAAATGTATTTTAAGTTATATTAAAAAGGCATAATTGAAATTGAAAGTCAATTATATACCATTAAAAGTGATTTATATAATTACCATTTAAAATGAAAAGCAATAAAATAAAGACTATAATTAATTTGTGTATAATAAAACGTGAAATGGTTCAAAATGCACTGCAAGGATTGGGGAAACACAGAAGGAATCTCATTCAGACCAAAAATCGTTGTGGTTGTTAATGAATATCACATAAGAATAAGCAACTAAATTTTGGACTTTGTTTTGCACGTTGTTCTAGGAATCAAATTGTTTGTATGTTTACAAATATAGTCATATTTGAAGAGTCAAACCAAGACTCCCCAGTTTTCCAATGCTTTTGGGATAATGCATTAAAATTCAAATTTAAAGACTGACTTGGGACACTGTTTTTATTGCAGTCCCCGTGCCACTGTCACAATGTCAGTCCCCGTCCAAATACCAATTCCAGGCTCGAACATGATGCACATGTTGTAAATAATTTGCTAATGGCGCCATCGATGCTTTCACAGCACAGGAGCACCAGCAGCAACGACTGGCTCCGAAGCTCTTAGACTTACTAGTAGTCTTCAGCTCAATAGTTTTGATAGCAACACATGTGTGGAATTGTATATATATATATATATATATACATGTATGTAGTGTCAGTCAGTCAGTCGGTTATTCAGTTATTCAGTTAGTAATTCTAGTCAAAGCCAGCTCTTGCTGCAGCCCTGACTGCGAGAGACAGAGACAGAGAGAGAGAGAGCGAGAGATACTGCTGAAGAGCAAGAGAGAGATGAGAGGAGAAGGAAAATGTAGGTGGAAAAGCGCTGTGCAGTCGTTGAAATTGACGAGCAAATGACAAGAAAGAAAATTTGCAAATTGCCTTAAAATTATGTTCAGCGATGCTTAAGTATAAAGTAGCAAGTTGGGACAGCTTGCATTTTGCCAATTCCCTTTTTATTCCCTGTTGGCTTTCCCACTTTTTGTCTCGGTAATCTTCAGATATGATTCAGCAAGAAGAAATTTAGGACTGCCTCCACTCCTTTTTTTGAATCCTTCGTGTTCCTTATCACGCTTGGCTTTGAAGCTTAGTTGGTAATAGGTTTTTAGTTACATGTTACATTCACAAACTGCATACAGAATTTAAATTAAAATTGCATGAAATGCAAGGCGCCAAGGCGCATCGAGCAATTGTACACCAATGCCCGAGGGTAATTAATTGGTGCATTGTTAAGTGATTGCCAAGCTAACATGGACATGCAATGCAACAGGGTTGTGCCTTGCCACATTAGAGTCGAGTTCAAAACGAGTCATCGGCCAGTGCTGGGGCATAGGTACATCTGAAGTATATAGTTATCTTATTATTAGAACTACTACTAACAAAAAAATGTGTCCAAGATAAGGCGGAGATAAGTTCTTGATTGAGTTTCAGTGGTAAACTCAGACGAATGTGCCCAACACCATCCATATTTATATGGACATAGATATTTGTTATTGGCATCATATATCGATATATGGCAATTCAGATGTTCATATTTGAAATAACTTCAATATGGTTTTTCGCTGGTTTTCGCTAGTCAACTGTTTATTTATTCTTTTATATAAGCTGATTTACTTCGAATTCCATCGGAATTCTAAGCAGCTGACTGAACTGTCACTGAGAATCTCGGCCTGAAGATGAATCCCGACAGGATCCAAAATATATCGGAGTATATAAAAGAAATGTGAAGAAAACAGTTGACCTGTCAGCGCAAACCATATTTGAAATTTAAAAAGAGGACGAACACAATTATACCATTTGTATCAATATGATTTGTATAGATAGTTTCATCCATCGCCCATGCGATGGCACTTATCTTTCATTTTGGATGAAGTGCACTTAGGTATTAGGATAAATGACGCATTTGTTGCGCCACTCGGTGGCGTGCTTGCCACATATTTAAGCCCAGCTTGCTTACAGGGTATTCTTAATGAGCTTTACGGTGTACTCACATCATAAAGTTGCGAGGCCATGGCAAACAACTACAAAAAGTTTTCCGTCTCACGCACATGACACATTCGCACACACTCGCACACACTCGCACACACACACACACACCATCAGCAACACACATCACATATGCGCATGCAAATTGTAGCTGGTTTTTTCCCTTATATTTTGTGAATTTTGCTTTTTGTATGGGTGATGGCAGCAATTCATTAATTAGCATGTGGCCACTCCCAGGCGACGGCTGAGTCCTTGTTTCGTGCTATGCATGTAGGTGTGTGCTCTTTGGTGTATCAGTGTGCGTGTGCGTGTGTGTGTGTGTGTGCTTTCAAGGAAGTTAAATTAAATCAATTTAAAATTAAATTAAATACAAAAAGTCAAAATGCCGTGCTTGTTGGCCTTTTGCTGCTGGATCTGTTCGCAGCAGGCACCCAAAATGCTGCCAAAAATGATTAAATAAACACTGCGAGCCACAAATGACTTTTAGCATAAGAAAAAAGGGACAAAATACCAACAGCGAATTAAAAAACAAGCAAGAACGCTTATCCTTGGCACGCCGAAATTACACACCCTTGCAGACCGCAGTTAATTTGTTGACTTGAATTGAATATTCCGCGATTTTGCAGTTAGATTGTACCCGAAGAGATTCAATGTATGTATGTCTATAGACATCCCAATCTCGTCTTTCGGCCAGAGGAACCTACGTCAGCTATATGATAATGATCACAATGACTTTTATTTTTGTAAAAGAAAATATTTCTTAATACGAGAACAAATCTGTCGACCGATTATTGCCAAGGCAGCTATATAAAATAGTGGTCCGATCTGGTTGATTAGAAGTCATAGATAACATTAGAATTGAGGCAGTTCGAAATAAATCGGATAAACATAAGCGCAGACATTTCACATTTCATGAGAAAATTATAAGACCCTCAACGAGGGTATGAAATGAAAAAAATGCCGCCTTGTACAAACAAACATTTAAATCGAAATGATTTTTATATTTTTTTTTTGGTACTGGCTCAAAGATTATATGGGTAGATGACGCAGAGCAGGTGGGGTCGTCAGCAAGAGTGTGTGCTTGCCGGGGGGTGGGGGGATTGGATCCTTGAGTAGCGCACTCAATGCGCCCGGCTATGAACTAATTTGCTTTAATGCTGGCGGCACTGTTCACACACAAACACTCATACCCACACACACAGACACAGACACTCATACTCATACTCATACTCATGCTCATACTCAGGCAAATACAGTGGGAGATACCCATCCACATGTATTATTCATGTAGCCGCAGTAAAGTCCTCCAACCTCGTCGACATCAACATGCCCCGGAGCTAACTTGGCCGACGCGTTGGCGTGCGTAGACTTTTAAAAGGGGCGCTAGTGGGTTCAATGGGTTTGTGGCTGCGGTTGGGCTCTGTTTCTGCTTGTGCGGCTTATAATGAGTTATATATTTTGATGCTAGGCAACCAGGGACCTTTTCAATTTGTACTCAATGGCTGCGGCTCACTTGCATTGCGTGCAAAGACTCTGACGGCCACTGCCCCAAGTCACAAGCCCCCAATCAGCCCCCCTCCTTCCACAAGTTCCAAGTAAATGTTTTAATGTCCGCGCAGCGCTCGCAAAGGATATGTTGCTGGTTGTTGTTGGTCGGGTTAAGCTCTTAATACGATTGCAAGAGCTCAAGAGTTGAATATTCCAATTAATACTATACATCGCATATTCCGCATAACTCAACTGCCTTCTCCTGTATATCATTTCAAAACAAATTGTACAACAAGCTTAATTGCAAACTCTCAAAGAGCGTATCTCCTAATGAGGGATAATCACTTTATACAAGTATTAGCAATTAAGTGGCATCATTTTGACACAAATAAGACTGCTTTGATTGGCTGCACAATTGGACTTTAGCTCCGCGTACCGTATTCACAAATACTATATGAATGTTATTCATGAATAATATACACAAATACCAATTTTAGAGTTGATCCTTTATATTTAGATACATTATTGTATAATGGACACATGTTTAACAATGCTAATGTATAATGCAACGTCAATGTTCTCGAATGATGGCTCATTACCAGTTTTGTCCACATCGGACTGAAGGATATGTATATATGTATGTACATAATGGTTAAACATTCATGTGAAACTATTGAGCTCTTTTAATTGTATGCTTTTCGTGAAGTCTTTCTTGGCTTAAGTCAGACACCTTTACTTGCCACACAACTGAGACCCATAGAGTAAAAGAGAAATATTTGTTTTTCAATATTTCTTCGTTTTTCTTCCACAAAAATGGCGAAATGTATACAAGTACATACATACATACATACATGTATGAGACATAAGTTGGATAAACTTCTAAATACAAGAACTATGCCAATTTGCTTGAATATATGCATCAGAGGAGGTACAAACTAGTTGTTCATCATCCTTTTGCTGCCTTGCATCAAAGAGTGTTGCAAATGGTTGACATAAGATGAATGTTTGCGCAAATATTGCTCTTTTTCATATAGTATATGTGGTTGTCTCAGCAAGCAACTATTTTCTCGCTTCAGCACACAACTTATCTAGACAATGGTATGTCCGAAAGGGTATTCCATCTTTGTTATTCTTCATAGAGTAATCATTCTTATTTTTCAGTGTTTCTATTTTCATTTGTAAAGTGGCATGCGGAAAGCGCGTTCGTTTCGCCTCCTAAGTGCAGACGTGCATGCAACACACGCGCCACAAAGTATACTACAGATATGTCTATATATACTTACATACATATATATGTACATACATACATATATAATATCATACTCATGCGATTGAATATACCGCAGAGCTCAAGCAGGCATTTGCGTGATGGTGTGTGTGTGTGTTAGGTGTGTGAGGTGTGTGAGGTGTGTTGGGTGTGTTGGGTGTATGTGACTGCTACCTGGTAATAAATTAAATGATTTATTAAATGATATGCACTTTATGCAACTGCTTACACACATTACACACTGCTACACCATTGTGTGTATCCCATTATGTTGGTGTGGGGCTCGTCAATTTTGAAGCTGTTTGGCCGGTTAAGATGCCTAAGCCTGTCAATGGCACAACATCAATTTTTGTGGCAAGTTGAAATAGCCCGAAGTGGAGCTAAGCGGCCATAAATCAGCGGCTGAGCCAAATTACTTGAGTTGCCATTGCTAAGTAGAACCCATTGAGTTGGTGCCCGATCCTGGGATCTGGAATGTGAGGCAATAAAGCAAGAGGTAAGTAGCTCAACGGCATGAGTCCGGGGTTCAATGGCTGATTTTCACATTGGCCAAAAGTCAGAGTAATGAGTTACTCGATTAAATTCCTACCATTTAATGCCCTTAACAGGAGTTTACTACTTAACTATATGATTAATAATAGCACTTTAAGTTTATCATTAACTTGTCTCTTGTTTTGTCTCTCTTTTCAGTTACGGAAAAGGAAATTCGTCAATGGTAAGAACTTTTTGGTTATACCTATTTGGCAGCAATGCTCAAATGTTATTTGTCACTATCCTACTTAGAGACTCTCCTCTCTTCGAGTATGTATAATACACATGAAACCAGGTCATTTAAATTTTAAAAAATAAAATCTTATCATTTAAATCATTTGAACACGAAATTACGTTTGACTTTTCCGCTGGCCAATTAATAAATGCATGAATAATGCAATTAATGAGGTTCGGAGCGGTTCGAACCTGAATATGCCGCAGCATGTAAATAGGATGGAGCGACGTTGCACATTTTAATTAGCATTAAAAAATGCACAAATCTTTTGACATCAAATTGAAATATTTGCATTAACAGACATATATACATATTTTTCTCATTTGTGCGCAGCTCTTTTTTTCCGCAGAAGTTGCTGGTTGCTATCAATATCAATATCAAATTTATTTACGTCTATCGTATATGTCCATATGTATATATGTACACGCATACATACATATATAATGTGAATATTATTATTACTTAATAGTTCAACATACATTTGCATATTATTTTGTTTCAAATGTGTGGTCAACAACTTTAACTGTTCGTCTCTTCGGTATGCTAATCTTAAACCAACTCTCTCTCTCTCTCTCTCTCTCTCTCTCTCATTTCTCCTCTTTCTCTCTCTTTCTCTCTTTTTTCCTTTGTCGCTCTTGGTTTAACTGTATCTCACTGAACTGTAAACTGTGCTATTAAAAAACCAAAAAAAAAAACTATAATGTTAATATTTGACTTCCGACACGAAAAAAGGCACAAAGGTTTTCTCAAAGATTGCCCAAATGGTCTGCTGACTGAACAAGTAAGTACGAGCCAAGAGTCAATCGCTGAATGTTTGCATCATATTTTATTTTAAGCTACTCGTACTCAATCAACTAACCACATCCGAATCCTATTAAAACAAAACCATAAAATCATAACAAAACAAAAATAATGAAAGTCTGCTCTTTTTCATTTTCACAATACTAACCTCAGAAATGCAGACATATAGCAAAAATGTTTCTCAACAACCCAAACAGCTAAACACAACAACAACAAAAAAAAAAAAAAAAAAAAACAAGGAACCGAGAACAAAACTGCAAAACTACTTAGTTATTTTTTTATTTACATACTTTATATTTTATAGTTTGTTCTCGTAATTTTATGTTTTGCTTTTATGTTTGTTTGGCCTTCCACACTCATCGCCATCGCCATTATTTGTGCCGCATTTTTGTGGCTTTGTTTTTGGCTTGTTTGTTGCTGCCACTTAAACTGGCTGAAATTTTTACTGATATGCCAAATGTGGGTTGCCGCTATTTCTAGCTCTTCCCAGCTGTCTTCCTCTACATTTTTTTGTTGGGCGTTGTTTGGCTTGTTCGCGTTTTCTAACTTTTTTCTATTTTCCTCTGTGGTACATTTTTTGTTTGAGCCCCGTCAATATTTCAGCATTGTCTCTGGGGGATTTGCGGGTCAAATTAAACTTATAAATGGGTTCATTAGTACCATGACTATTACTACAAATTATGTGAGAGTGATGGGAGGAGACTAAACACGATTTGATGACGCAACGATTTCAAATATATACCTTTAGAAGCATATATGTCTATATATATGCAGCTCTTGAGAGATAGTAGAGTGTGTATTTAACTTTTGATTATCCGTTGTTTCTTGAAAATCTATTTATATTCAATTTCAATGTGATTAACGAGTCTTGAACTACTTTACATTCTAAGTGTTCATAAAATTAATTTAACATTTTAAAATGATTGGAAATGTAATACAAAATGTGTATTTACCGAAGCTTACTTCTCGTTAGTGTGCACTTAAAATATAAGTTTGATTTAACTAACCCTGCTACTCATTTGCCAATATAAACCATTTATTAAATGCTTGTTAAAGTGCTTGTGTTATTTACCCGATTGAATATTAAATATGCTAATATAAAAAATGAATACATCGAAATTATTTGATATTAATTAATTATTGGGTATAGTATTGCAATATCAATTTGTAACAAATATCTCTCTTATCCTATCACTAATTAACTAACTTTTCGCACAGGGATTCATCAAAATTTATAAACAATTCTTCCCGGATGGAGATCCCAGTAAATTTGCCTCTTTGGTATTTCGGGTTTTCGATGAGAATAATGTAATGTATACTTTGTACTTTATAATTTTGTAATATGTTAATGACTATTCATTCAAATATCCCAACAGGATGGAGCCATTGAGTTTGAGGAGTTCATACGTGCGCTTTCCATTACATCACGTGGAAATCTAGATGAAAAATTACACTGTAAGTTATAGAAGAAAGGTTCGGAAAGTATCTTGATGCATCTAATTAATTAAATATGAACACTCTATGAAGGGGCTTTCCGTCTTTATGATGTGGACAACGATGGCTACATAACTCGAGAGGAGATGTACAACATTGTTGATGCCATTTATCAAATGGTGGTAAGTTTATAGGCTTTACAGAATCATATCTTACCTAGGAATTTTGATGATTTACATATATTTATGCGTACAACTAACTACGTATCAAAGAGACACATTTCAAGAGCTTTGGCCGAAAAAATAAACTATTTTTAACTAATCTTAAACGTAATTATAATTTATATTATATTCATTTCGAAAAACAAGTAGACAGACATCAATACTAATAATATTTTATCCATTTTCGAGCAGGGTCAACAGCCGCAAACGGAGGATGAAAACACACCACAGAAGCGGGTCGATAAGATCTTCGATCAAATGGATAAGAATCATGATGATCGGCTAACCTTAGAAGAGTTTCGTGAGGGTAGTAAAGCTGATCCACGTATAGTGCAGGCGTTAAGTTTAGGTGGTGATTAACCGCAAGAATTGTAGTTGCGCCGGAATTCGGGATTGTCAAAGAGTCGGAAGCATGCAGCAGAGACAACGAATTCGTGCACAATAATAAAATATGGTTTGATCTAATCGTTAAGGAAATTTGCAAGAAGTTTATATCTTCATATATACACACAAACCGACACAGACAAAAGCACACCTACTCCAATATATATATATATATATATATATATATATATATATACACACATCCACACATGTATTATATGCCATTTGCCTGGTGGCAGCTTATTAGCCACAAAGCCGCGGCCAAAAGATATCGATAAACAGAAAACAGAAACCGTAACTTGAATTTGTTAAGGTAAAATTCCAACTAATCGCAGAAATATAATTATATACCGTATACCACATCGATAAAGATTATAAATACATACAATTAACAATGCAATCCACAAAGGAATGCTTAGCAAAATTCGTAAAGAGAACAAAAAAAAGAAAAAAGCAAATAACACCAATTTAATAACAAAAACGCTTTTTTAATATTACTTACATATACATGTATGTATATATGTATAAAAGAGATAAAAGCAAAGTATACACCATATACACGTAAATATATATATATATATATGTATATACATCTATATATATATATATACATACATATACATATAAAATATACATTTGGCATTTGTTCTATTGTACAGGCATTTTTATTGAAATGCTTGCAAAATGAAAAAAGGAGAGCAAAAATAAAAGAAAAACAAAAACAAAAAAAAAAAAAACCAAAACGAAAACCAACCGAAAGCAAATTAACTAAATCAAATTTATAGTTGGATTTTTTTTTCTAATTACTTACATATATATACACAGATACAAAAAATACAACAAATGAGATATTGTAGGCTTACTGAACGCCATGCAACCGCGCCAAGGGCATAATTTAAATATATATATATATATATATATATATATATATAATATGTGTATGCCTAAGCATAATGCTTCCGCTTTTAACAAATACATATACAATACAAATATAAATACAAATACAAATATGAAATATGAATATGTACATACTCGTATTTGTATGCTAGTAGTTTAAGGCGAACCATAAATATGCTAATTGATGCTTCCTCATCTCGATTGTTTTGCCTTTTCGCTGAATCAGCTGCAGCAGCAACAACTGTTGATAATCGAACGTGTTGATATTCGAAATGAATTACAAAAATCTGCTTATTAAACTAATTATATACGACTTATATATACATACACACATACATATATACCCCTATGTCTGCCTGAAGAACTAAAAGCAATCTCAGGCAAAAACTACTCCTATTGAATCCAAGCAAATGAAGGGAAATCCCCAAATAAATCTGTAAAATGTATGAACATTTGGTACATCCCATTGACGCGAACAAGAGAAGCTTATTGCATGGGGCATGAACTTAGTACATCGTATGTGCTTACAGCTATTATTATATATATATACATATATATATATATGTGTATCGCAGTCGCTTCTTTCGTTTCTGCTTGGGTTCCCCAGAGCTGGACTTGTTTCCATGAGCGCGTTACTTCAATCTGTCTGCGTGTATCTTTGTTTGTGCATCTAGTTGCATAACTGAAAAGTCATTTGATTCGATTTAGTAATACATGTACACTAGCTAGGCTATCTTTTCATTGCACTGCAGCTCTCTGCTGCGCAGACAATCAATTTGGTTCAGAACTATACAAATTTTGCTTCGATTTATTCAAAACGATTAACAAAATTATCATTTAATTCGCATTAAAATATATTTATTTATTGGATGATTATCAAGGTGTCGGACCGAAATGAATTTACGTTCCGGTTCCGTTTCCGATAGTGTGAGGGTAAAGAGTATGAATTTGTTCCAGTACCTTAGGGTACTGGGGACCGTTCCGCTACAAGACACCCTGTTTTGACACCCTGATTATTATTTATTACATTTATAGATTAGGTTAATCAAATTGTTCCTTCAAAGAAGTAAAACAGTGTTTAAAATTGGGTTCTTTCTTTTCAATTGTCGTGTACGAGTCCACGAAAGTAACAAGTTAAAAAGGAAAATTGCAAAAAAGTAATTCTACTATTTAATAATAGGTTATTTACGCGCATACACAAATAGTCGGCTCATGGGTATTTGAAGTTCCCTAAGAAACTGGAATGACCTGCATAGATGTTGCTAAACAACTGTTTTTTAAATTTACATTTATCCAGTAACTACATATTATATACATATTTCTGCATGCCTTACTAAACAATATCATATTTTTCTATTACATTTATTTTGGCATTCTTACTACAACTACTTAGAGCTTGCAAAATCTTTCTAAAGTATATTCAATAAAAATGCAAACATTTTACGATATATTTATATACAATATATATGTGTATATAAATTAACATATACATATATATATATATACATATATTGAATGCCTTAAGAACTATCGCATTTTACAATCACCGTCGCGCAAACCTCTCTGGAAACTCTCTGGTAAACAAACACTCTGTACACCCTATACCCTTGTACACTCTATACACTCTATACACTCTATACCCTTGTACACTCTATACACTATACATAACAATTAATATTTTTTCGTTAACTTTCTGCTTTCGTATAGTTTCTTCTCTACAACAATCTAATCACCATGCTAAAATAATTTCTATTTTATATGTGGTTCAGCTTTATTAAAACAAAACAAAAATAAATCAAATAAAATAAACAAACTTTAAACTATACAAACCATACTTACATTCATATGTAAACATATGAAAATATCAATAAAATCTAAGTTTCAAATCTCAAGTATCTAAATAAAAATGTTATAACCAAACACAAAATCTATAAAAACAAATCTTCGATTATATATTTTCTGTTGCAATGTGCTTTATTCTATATTTATATCTTACTCTACGCCTAATTCATTCAATATTCGTCAATATTGCGTTTTGTTCCCTAAGTGTTGTCTCTTTGGCACCCAAAACTCTAAATTCACATTCTTCTTATTATAGATCAGTAATTGAGACCGCTTGTATTCAAATTCGTAGTCATGATTTCTGATATTGCTTATTTTTATTTTTTTTCGTTTAGTGATTGTTCGAGATGGGTTATAGTGAACTATACACTATATCTACACCGTATAAGTTCATTTACAAATATGGAATATGATTAAGGTGCTTTCTGAATATAATTTTATATATGTTTGTACAATGTTTTTAATATATGAATATTAGTAACTACAGAATTACTTTTGCTAATTAACTGGTTACTGATATTGAATGCTCACTGTATGTTAGTAAGTTTCTTCAAGATTTATTTTACGCTCAGAAAATACCAGCAACTAGTATAGTCATAATGCTTCTAGGATTTATTACTAATCCTTCTGGGACTGCTGACAGGTTAGATATGTTATTTTTTCTTATTTTTTTTTTTTATATTAAGCTTATATGTATTAATTGAATTGCAAATAAGTTAATTATGCAAATTGTTTAAGGCGTATAGGTAGATGCCTTATACAGAACTATTAATCTTATATGGCAAATGAAAGTATGAAAATGTAACCAAAACAAAAAAAAAAACTGACTTAAAAATATTGTTATGATCTGAAATACTTACTTCCTATGAAATTCGTGAAACTGCTGCAAAAGTAAACTGAATTAGTGTATTAATTGATGGTGAGGTTTCCGATATAAAATACTCGTTATACGCATACTGTATTATCACTTTATCCGCTCTATTCATTGCCCAGCAGCGTATTATATTTATATTGTAAAGGCCAAATAGAAATACGTATGTATTTTACTTAATACTCTTCGATCTATTCGGAATTTTTTTTTTTTTTTTGATTTGCATAGAATTGTTGTTCAAGACTATTTGAATTTAAATACTTAAGCAGCCCATTATGCAAGTTAGTTATACCATAAAATGCAAATGCATAATGCACAAAATGCTTGCATGTCTTTTTATCTTCACCGAAGTTCTTTAGCAAATGCAAATAAACTTATATATTACAAATATATATAGTTATAAACTATATAATTAGCTAGCAAATAAGCTATTTACACGAGGCAATTGAATAAAACAAGTCAAAATTATGATGATATTAACATAGACTATAAAATATTAATGGATACATATTCACACATTCATACAGCAAATAGAACATTAATATTCTGTGAGGTTGGATAAAAACAAACTCACTCATCAAACGAAGAAAAATTAAAATGAGAAAATGCTGCAACAATCAATTTTTGGCGCTTCTTACACTTGACAATGAATATTAAAATAATTGTACATATGAACAATTTAGCAGCTAAGTTAAAGAGAACAACCACAAGAAAACCAAAAAAAAAATAAATAAAAATAAAAATAAAAAAATACAAACACAAAAACACACAGCCTAAATATCTAACAAACCTATTATTATACTATATACATACTCTTATACTTATGATAATTCAAAGAGATGAATTTTTTTTTTATTCAATAACTTACTAAGTGTTAACTTAATACAAGTACTATTTTCTTTGTGCTATAAATTCAAACGTAAGCAATATTTTTTAGCATTAAAATGAATTAAGCAAATGTTTATTAAAATTTAATGAAAGCCCAACGCGCTGTTACTTACAATTATAAATCCAAAAATGATTTACTCTGAAATTGGCTAAAATAAATTTAAAAAAAACTCTGCACATGAATAAACACATAAACTTTAAACACGCCACAGAACAGAAACGAAAATAAAAAGTTTTTTGAAATTATTGTGAGAAAATAAAAACAATTACAGTTTTATTGAACACATTACACCACATAAATATAGATACTAGTCCCAAATTATTATACAAATAAGTAAGATTGCTCTGGCCTCGCATCGTCTTCATTTGACTTTATTGTTAATATTACCTTATACACTGGCAAGAGATATTATGATTTTGACATTAGTTGCATATGCATATAGATATTTATTGAAACGATCTTGAGCAGTTTTTGGCAATTGGTCGAAAGTTTAGTTGTTTGGTGAACAGCCTTGTTACTTTCCCAGAGCTTTGAGCTGTTCGCTATTTCATTTAATTGTTCCTGCTACAGCAGAAAGCATCATATTACCAGCTTTGTGGCAGCAGCAGAAGCTTTGACGTCGTAAGCAAAAGCTGGCAAAGCTTTGCGAAGCTTTTGTTTGCTAAGCACAGACACTAATAATGGAGAGAGCTTTGCATAAAAGATATCTCTATGAAATATAAGTGAAAGTAGAGCTAACTTCAAATTGTTCTTGCTATTAATTGATTATGATTTATTGGCAATCTTTAAAATATATCTAACCCTGGCTGGTATTCGAGTTCTCAGCTTTGATGTTCAAGATTAAATAAAGTTTCTTATACAAATAAAAAATGCTTC